GATAATTATCAAAAAAATTTTTTTCACAATGAGGGGTAAAAGGCACGTGAAAGCCAATCAAATTCAAGAATCCACCTGTAGATCGTTCTAGAATGTAATTCCTAATTTGGTATATTCCCTGACTGTATTGGTTAATTTGCAATCATTTGATGTCCAACTTAATCATAAGTATTAACAAGTATTTGATTATTAAATTTTTGTTTGATTGTGCCGAGCACTATATAAGACTACTAACCCCCCTTCTACTCTCTTGAAATTATGTAATAAATAGCACTTCTTTTAGATTTGTCAATTTAGTTAACAGTCCTAATTGCCTATTTTGGTAAAATGATATATAGTATATTACTTATAAACAAATAATAAAAAAGGCCAACTTTGTAATTAAGATTATTTTCTATTTTATTATAAACTGCTTTTGAAATTTTATAAAAAAATCTTTGAATGCTAAAGAAATTGCAAATAATATTTAAAAATCAAATTGACAAATTTTTTACTATTAAATAAGCCAAAAAAGCAAATTTTATATATAAAATTTGGGTGCGTCAATCATTTGAACCCATATTGCACATGATCTACACATGTTATATATATAGTACATATACAAGATGTTGTTATTACTTAAAAATTTGCTTATAAAACTACTTTTGGAATTTTAGCAAAAAATAATTATGCAAAATTTTGGATTACTAAATTACTTTCGATAGTTATAAACAAGATACTTTAGTGACTGTCAATCCATTTTTGTAATGCGAAACGTTACGCTAATATGTAGAACATATCGTGTAACATTATGGTCTTTCATCCAATCAAATTTAACGCCTGCTTGTTCAAGCCACCACAATCATGTGATTGTCAAACCTGAAATTCTTATAATGATAAGTTTTCTTAATCGTAATTAAGATTATAAAGACAACTTTTTTCTATATTTTTTCGTTTTTAGTAGCTTAAAAGTTTCTAACCTTTTATTTGTTTATAATTTATTTTTTTAATATTTCGACGTTTACTCAAGCTGCCAGCCTTTTATTATTGACGTGCATTTTCTTTGGGCACGACAGAGTTGTAATAAAATTAAAAGCCTTTTAGTCTTACGAGCCTTAAACCCATGGCTTTAGCGAATGCAACTTTTTCAGAAATTTTGGACGACTTATCAAGGTTTAGTTTAACTTAGCTATCTATTTAATAAATATATTTAAAGAGTATGAATACTTACAGTTTTTGTACTGTTAATCTAGTCGATTCATAATAAATGTTCCAGAGGAAGAATTGGCTTCTGTGGAGCGCATATGTTTTCAAATTGAACAGGCACATTGGTTTTATGAAGATTTTGTTAGAGAACAGAACCCTAGTTTGCCAAGCTTTAATCTGAAAAATTTCTCAGCAAAATATATCCTTTTGATTCGATAGATCATATATCGAAATTGTTATAGTAAATAATTATCACAACGTCGACATGCACCAAGCTTTTAAATATAAAAGCGTTATTTCTGCCAATATTTTGAGGGTACGACTTATTTAAAAAATTCCTAACTCTTGCACACTTTTTAAGCATTGCCCGCTATTACATCAATGGTCTCATGAACACGAAAAAGCGTTTGCCGATTTCATGCAATATAAAATTCGAGTTCCCGTATGCGGAGCCATTATGCTAAATGATACAATGGACCAGGTTATTACATTCTTTGTTTAAAGTAAAATGAATTCTTTAGTTCTTATTGTTCATGCGTTTTTTTGATCAGTGTGTACTGGTAAAAGGGTGGTCATCTCGTTCTGGATGGGGATTTCCTAAGGGAAAAATCAACAAGGATGAGCCAGATTCTACCTGTGCGGCTCGTGAGGTTCGTTGGTTATTCAAATTAAATTATCATAGTTACAATCTTCTAAATACGTTTAACGAATCTGCAGGTTTTGGAGGAAACCGGATATGATATATCACCCTTAATTAAGGAACACGACTATGTAGAACTAACTATTCGTGAACAACGAATAAGACTATATATTGTTGTTGGTGTTCCTGAAGATACAGAATTTTGTCCAAAAACGCGAAAAGAGATTAGTGTGCGTTATGCTTTAATACTTGTCAAAAATTTCTAAAAAATGTTTATATATAAATTATTCATAAATATATTTATGATATAATAGAAAGTAGAATGGCATAAAGTATCTGACTTACCAACGTGGATCAGGAGTCGAGACAAGGATACTCCTTATAATTGTGGAGGCGGTTGTGTAAAATATGGGAGCAGTAGGTTTTACATGGTCGTCCCCTTTGTTAGGTATGCAGTGAGTTTTTCGTCTTGTCCGTTCCCGAATTATAAAATTCTCCTGACATATATAAATAATTGTCAATATATCTTATTTCAAGCAAACTTCGACATTGGCTAAAATCACAAAGAAAATTGGTACGCAAAAGAGTAACTGATGTATCACATCAAGAGGAATCTTCTGAAGTCGTAGTGTTCAATGGTCATGGTACAGACTCAGGACCAAAAGAAACATCTCCGGAAACTTCAGTACCAGGTACAGAAAGCGAAGGTAGTCCTCATGAACAATCACCAACATTTAGTGGGAAATTACATAAATCATCTCCAAATATCCACGGCACGTCTCAGACAATTATGCGATCAATGTTTAGCTTAGATGCCCCTATGTCCACACAGATACCTACGTTTTCCACTTCACTACCACAGGAATTACAACAACTTAATGCACCGGATGCAGGATTAAACTTTGAGTATAATCAAATGCCGGCATCTGAATTTACACAATCTCATTCATATTTCTCGACTTCACTTCCTCTTGGCCAATCACCTTTTGATTCATATACCTCAAATGGTCTAACATTTCATCAATCGACACCTAATAAAATTCAATCCTCCAGTTTATCAAACTTGGAAGGTGCGAAGCTACATATGCCTAGAAGAAAATCATCAATCGGTTCTACATACTCTAATTCTCATTCACATATCAACACGACCAATAGTCGTGACATAACAGCCCCTGTCCCGATAAACGCTAACTCTAACGCAGCCATTGCTGCCTTGGACCCGGAACAGAAACTTCGTCGAAATTCATTATTGAGTTTATTTACTGCTTCAGCTTCGTCTAAACAATGTGGTACAACAACTCCTATGTCATCAGCAACCGTAGGTCATGATGATCAACGTAGAAATTCGTTACTTAATGTACTTCAATCAGAAATACCTTCGACTTCCAATCAAATTTATTCGACTTCTACTCCCCTAACTCACGATGACATCACTCAGCATCAAGCGCAACAATCTTTATTACATTTTTTACCTAGTTCATACGATCATATCAACACTGCAGAAGTTATGTCGAGTTCTAATACTCATACCAATACCATGTTCAGTATGTTCCAGAATTCAGCTGCTCAAAGGAACCCGAAAGTCATGACATCACAGTCTAGTGCAATTCCTGATGCAAATTATTTAGGAAATCGCCGAGATTCCGCGTTCAGTAGACATTCGAGTCAAGGCGCTACCACTCCAAAATTGTCGACTAATGTTGGTCCTATTGGCCAAGGAAGACCTTCAAATAATAATGAAAATAACAACCCCGAAATTCATGAAGTCGCACGGAAGATGTCATTATTAGGTTTATTTTCTACGACATATTCGTCGAATTCCGATAAGAATACTCCCAATACTTGTCGCGCAACTGCCGAAAGTCCATTCAAACCACAAAATACATTTTTTTCCTCTTCTACTGTGAACTCACAACTGGGCATACCAGGTACTCCTAGTTCGCTAAGGGTAAATAAAGAGTCTTTGTTACGTCTAATAACGGCTTCTCCTCCGCCGCAAGGCGCTCCTTTATCCCCTAAAGTCTTTGACGCAGAAATTCAAGCTCAAGAAAGAGCACTGCTGAATCTGCTAAAGTTGACAAATCCCTCGAATAATGGTGTTGTGGGTGAAAATGTTTCTCCTAATCTTATTAGTAATGATTCAATGTCAGCATCAATTCCTCATGGGTATGACCAGAAAATAAGTGAATTTGGCCATTCCAACAATGATAATGTTCGTGTTGAAATTAACAAAGAAAATAATCCATTTTTGGACGATTATGTAAGATACACTCCGCAAGACAATAAGTTGAATGAAAACGGATCTAGTGCATCCAGCAAACGAGCGTATCCTGAAGCTACCAAATTAGTCGAAATTTCACCGGATCTTCGGGTTCGTCACGAACTTCTTGATAGAATTCATGCGTTTATCCCTCCAGGTGGTACGAATCCAAAGGAAGGATTTAATTCACGTGCTAGAAGCCTTGGAAATAGTGACAATCCGATGGTCAATTTCAAATTTGACGTAGAAAAAATTGTTGCAACATTGTGATTGCCTAAAATACAATATTTGATAATGTTATTACAAGATTATAGTTTATTCGAGATAATTGATGCTATTAATTTGTCTTTAATCTATATTAATGCTTTATAGATATAAACGAATTTAGATCGCTGTATAAAAGTTAATACGTGTATTCTCAACCCTTTTGAATAAACATTTTTTGTATTTATTTTTCAAGAAAAAAGTATTTATTGGATAGGAAATTTGTTTGCATTATCAGTCAGGGAAGATGTCACACCGAGTGATAAATTATAATAAAAAATATAATAAAAACATAAATTTACTATAAACTTTAAGCTAAAGATCCTTTTAAACCTACATATTAACTTATTTTCAAAT